AGGCACTTGCCTTTTTATTTATTTGAAATAAAAAAATCCATTTTTGGTGGATTAAATTGGGAGGTTCTTCTTTCTTTTCTGTATTTTAAGAATTAGGCCCATCCTTACTGGAAGTAAAGATAAGAAGAGCAGAATGCTAATGGATTTTTCATGCTTCATGAAATCACACTCCTCGTATCCCTCTTTTTAGCAGAAAGGTCTCCAAACCCATAGGGACTTTATTCTAGAAATTTCAGGAATGGACATTCTCATATGCTGGTGTTTTTTCATATCCTTGTTTGTTATTTTCAGTTCAATACACAACCACATATTGAGTGTCTACTTTTCTTGGTTAGCAGACGGGACCCAGAGAAGGGGGCATGTGTACATGAACATGACTAAGAGCCCCAGAGCATACAGCTCATGGGGAGTCTAATATAAACACCACTGTGCCCACCAAGAACGAGCTACATGGTGTGTGGGGCCCCAGCAAGATGCACATGCAGGGCCCTTGTTCAGAAACTACTAAGACTTTCCAGCCAGTGATAGCAGAGCCCAAGCATTTCACCTTCTGAATGCAGACCCTATGCAGCTGCATGGGTCACAGGTTCATGAAGCTGGCCCAGGTCCCTTCCAGAAGGGCTGGGATCTGTGCTAAACAAAAGCAGAGTTCAATGGGAGTCTACAAAAATAAATGGCCGGTTTTGATGGTTGAGAAACCAGGAGAGGGTGCAGGGGACTTGCTGGATGCATAGAGTGGGTTTAATAAGATGGGAATTAAAAAAAAGGTGTTTTCCTATTTTCTAGGATGCTATTGTATAATCTTTGTTGTGGAAGTTGTCATGAGTTGTTTGCTTTAACTTCATTTGTCAACTTTTTCCATATTACTGTGTACTGAGTTTGGAGGCTATTTATCTATAATAAAGAACAATGGAATTCTCTCAAAGAAACTCAAGTTNATGCTATTGTATAATCTTTGTTGTGGAAGTTGTCATGAGTTGTTTGCTTTAACTTCATTTGTCAACTTTTTCCATATTACTGTGTACTGAGTTTGGAGGCTATTTATCTATAATAAAGAACAATGGAATTCTCTCAAAGAAACTCAAGTTTATAATGAAAAATCTCCTGTTTCCTAGTTATCCAGAAGGATTTGGATTGGAACCCAAGCCTAGAATGACTCCTTATCATCAAGTCTTTCTTTCTCCAAATGAAGAAGTGAGAGAAAAAAGTGGGGAAGACTTCCCAAGTTTGAGTGATGGTACATTTTATTTGTTATTCATTTTGGGGAGAAGAGCTGGAGAGCGGTAACTGTCAGGATTGCATTTTTCATCTCTGTCGGGCTTGATTAGACTAAGAACTTGGCAGACTTCCTAAAATTCCAGAGAACCCCACTGTAAGTGGGTTTCATTTCTCAGGTGGTCCTTGAATTCTCCTTTAGACCACTAGACCTGGAAACTGGCTTGTTATTCACCTACTCTGAGCCACTACTTAGCTATCTCTCAGCTTTCTTCTCTAGAAAATGGCCATGGAGTAAATAAACTCATTTCTTCTATGAGATTTCTAGCTTGATGGAGTATATTCTTGGATTTGCTTTTATCAAGTCAAGGTAAAGAATGGGAACAAGGTTCCATCTGATTTTTGGATTGGAAATCTGTTAAAAAAAGAAAAGAAAAGAAAAAAGCAGCCTATTCATGTGTTCAAGAGATTGCTCTCTCTTGATCTAGGAAACTTCATCAGTGGTAGAATCTTGCACCCTTTGGTTTGTTGACTGTGCCACTTACCTTGTGATATTTTGAGGTAACAGAGAGTAGGCATAAGGGCCTTTGTTTCTGGTCATGTATAATCATTTTTAAGCCAGTGCTTAAAAATCTTGTGAGTTTAAATTTGCTCTGACACAGTGTTAATTACAACATGAACATTTGTATTTTGGGTTTGGCTAGTTGAGTAGACTGAACAATGTTTATTCCCCTTGAGTGAGAAAAACGGACTATAGAGGCTGGTATCAGAGGAGTACTCAGTGGTCCAAGGTCCAAGGGAATTTAGGCATAGTTCAGGGTATTATAGTTGTGGGGCATAACAGGTAGAATTAATTTAGTAGGTTGTTCCATATCAGGGCAAATTCAGTGCCGTAAAAGAAGAATGGCTTGGGTACTGGCCTCTGGTTATAATTTTGGGTTTGGTGTCCATTCCTCTGAGGGGCCTACATAAGGTGAGGTGGGAAGGAGCTGTTTTCGGGGAGCTATTTGGTTACCTAGAGCTCACATAGGTATTTCTGTTTGGTATCTAACAGAATTGGGGGCGGGGGAGAGGCTCCCTGAGCCCATCCATCATGTTTCCCAGCTCTGGGCATATGAGGCAGGCAGGACTTGGTGGTGGGCAGTTAGAGCTGGAGGATAGCCCAGCTCACATGAATGTTGGTAGTGTTGTCATTGGTGCTGTGGCTCTATATACTAATTACTTTCTGGCTGGAGATTGCCAAGCTGGGGTTATATTAAAGAAGGATGTGCAGTACAAGCAGCCATGATACACCATGTCCTGGCCCCTCTGGGAGAAGCACTAAGGTTTCTCCCAAAAATCTGATTATGTGATGTGCTCTCTTTGTTAGTCCAGCACAACATTCAAAAGACAGTACGGACTCTCTGGCAGCAGCTTATGGCACAGAGGCGGAAGGAGCTGGAGGACACCTTCAAGATTGATCTCTCTGTGAAACCTGGAGAGAGTGAAGTGAAGATTGAAGAGGTTACCCCACTCTGGGAGGAGACAATGCTCAAGGCTTGGCAGCACTACCTAGGTCTCTATCCACTTAGCTCCAGGGAACAAAACTTCTGGTTCTCATAGACCCAGACTCCTCAAGGTTCCACTCAGGGCCCAGAGCCTTTTCTAACCAGAGCTTTTACCACCCAGACCTTCTCTCTCATCCCTTTGGTGGGTGGGATTCACATTACTGAAACCTCATGAGAATGAGTACTGCTTTCATCTTGGGTGAAAGGAAAGCCAGAAGTGCCAAGCAACTTAGCAGATTCTAATAATCGCTTAGAGGGAGGGGACACCACATCAGAGCTCTAGCCTTGTCTCTGGAGCTTAGGCTATGTCCTAGCCTGATGTTCAGCTACCAGCTCTGAAACCTTACACCGAATCATGCATATTCCAAGTGAAAGTGTTCATCCCAAAGGTATTAATGTTCATTGCATTCTATCAGTGACTTAACATTTTTACCCTCATATTAGTCAGTACTAAGAATGATGTTTTAATTTTGTTTTTAAGGAGGTCATTCCTCTTAAATAAAGGCTCACGTAGTTTCTTTTAAGTCTTCCAGCATTTGCAAAATTCATAGTAATTCAAGAGTTAGTTATTTCCATGTATATAATCTCAGTTGGCCTAGTGGTATAGAACCTTTATTTCATGAGTTTTCCAAATTAGCCCCGGCAAATATGCATGTACCTATCTATGTGCATACAAGTATAATTTAAAGTCAAATGTCAGATTCCATGTCAGGGAAAAGTTCAGTAAAATAGGACATATACACCCATGTACTTAGAGTGAAATAAAATGAGATGGACCTTAAAACTTACAAGTGGCTCTCTTTTTGTCAACAACCAAATACTGAAAAATTTCTATATTCCAATGCCTGTGTTTAAAACACATAATTTTAATTATTCTTCATGATACCACAATGAGATTAGACACTTTATTCCCATTTTATAGGACTAGAACACTGAGGCTCAGGAACTTTAGCTAGCTTGTCCAACATCTCACTGCAAGTCAATGAGCTGTGGAGCTAGAAGTCTAAGCCGGGTCAGAAGTTGCCAAGCTTGGGCTGTTTCCTGTGGAGGCAGGCACACAGGACTTGTGCACTGGCTGGCCCTTTGAAAGCCAAGCCAGCTGTAGAAATAGTGTGTGCTCTCCTTCTCAACTTCACCTCTGACAGTCTTTGTTTCCCTGTCCCCAGCATCTGAGAAGAAGTTGCTGGCCAATCGCTCAAATGTCGGACACCAAAATAAAGTTGCTTTGTGGAGTGAAAGCTTATCCTCAGCCATGAGGCTGATGCCTGGGCGACAGGTCAAGGACCCTGAGTTCAAGACGCAGGTGAGCCAAGACTCCCTACCTCCCCTTTCCTTAGAGAAGCATCAACATTTGCTTCAGACCCTGTAAGTCCTGTCTTTCTTTTTTCTGTGGTCACTAGATGCCATTCAATTCCATATTCTTCTGAGTGTTTAAGGGTATGCATATGGCTTCCCTGATGGGGCTGCATCTAGGGCAGCCAGCTCTTAGGCTAGCTTTAACTTAAGTGAAAATGGGCTCCCCTTGAGCACCAAGAGCATGTGTTCCTTATGGCCTTAAGAACCGGATGGATCTTTGTTCCCATTCTCTTTCTCAGTCAGGTGTGCTGAGAGAGCACTAGCCCATAGTTTAGTAGGAGCTGAGTGTGTGGGCTTAGCGAGTGGGGACAGAAACATGGATGCTATGCTCAGACATGCGGCAGTGGGTCCTCCTGACTGGAGCGGGGCCATGAGCCTTCTCTAATCCATTTCTCCTAAGATGTATAACACAGCCTCCTAAAATTCAGTGGCACTGACAGTTTTTTTGTGATCGTGGATGCTGTGGTAAGGAGTTTGGAGCACAGCAGGGGTGGAGGTATGAGAGTGTCTATGTTCCACAATGTCTGGAGCCTTGGCCGGCATCGTCAGAAGGGCCCATTTACTCACATACCTGCTTGGTCTGAGCCCTCCTGTCCCCCATGAGTCTGTTGTCCACTGTGGTCAGTGACTGATGGGGGGACACCGTCATCAGAAGTCTGAGAGAAGAGAGGAGTGACGGGCTGCCTTCAACTGTTCAGGCAACTGGGAGAAGGAGATTTTCTTCTTTCCAAATTCAGAAATAGTAGATTTTAGGACATGTGGAGAAAGAACCCAGGCAAAGAAGGGAAGATAGGAAATGAGCTTGACTGGGCTGGCTGGCCACCTGGTGTTCCGAACTGAGAATAGGCTGTGTCCTCAGTGCATGGGCTTGTAGAAAACGCTGCTCAGTAAGTTTGTCGACAGACTCACTGGCTGACTGAGTGAGTAAATAACTCAGATTTCATAACAGCTGCACCACACAGCTATTATTAGCTCCAGTGTACAGATGTGGGAACTGATTCTTAAATATAGTCAAGGAAGTGGCGGAGTGAAGATAGGCTCTCCCATCTCTGTGCTACTGAGCATGACCTTGGAAATTCTGTAACTTCTTGGAGCCTTGATTCTTGAACTTACAACTGGGAATGTGCATGCTCTGTTTACACTAAAATATGTGGAAGCTTTATAAAGAGAAGACAGTTTTAAAAATTCCATTTTACTTGTGGACTCCCTGACAAAGGGAAGACCATCTCACATGTAATATAGCTGCATTGAGCTCCGGAAGCTGGGGCATCCCCACCTTGTGCTCAAGCACTTTCTCCTGACCAATGTCATTTAGTGGCAGAAAGGTTCCAGCCCCTCTTCCTTTGGCTTCACCCTGGACCTTCTACTCCTTGACCAAGTTAGCACTGTCAGCAGGCAGTCAGGTCAGTCCAGCTGGGGAGCTAGGGAAGGCACTCTGGAATGCTGGTCAGGGACATGCGTTTTATGGGAACTCTTGCAGGCTATTGATGCTGCCTCTTTCCAAAGCCTTCCCCCTCCCAGGTCACTGTCATTGTCACAGCTCAGCCGTCTCTGAGTCCTGAAGAGACTGGGTGCAAAATGGCTCATGGGAAAGAAGCTTGAGTAGACTATAATGTTGGTGCCATGTGGGTTTACAAGTTTGTTCTTGGTTCACACTGAGAGATCTGGAAGAAAGAATGTTTGAAACTAGCTCTGTCTGTGGTGAAGGCAGGCTGCTGAACATGTCTTCCATATCAATTTCTCATTCATTCATTCATTTGCTCCACAAATGTTTTATAAGTGGTTACTGTGTACCCTGCTCTAAGCACTGAGGTTATAGAATAGAGAAAAACTTAGGTATTCTCTGCTTTCATGGAGACTGCATTGAAGGGGTTGAAGGTAGATAATAAACAGGTAAAGAAATTTGGAAATGTTGCAGGTGCTAATTGCCACAAGGAAAAATCAGGCTGGGTAAGTGGTGAGAGGGATGGTGGGCTGTTCAGATAGAAGTGGTCAGAGTCCTCTCTGTTTTAGTAAGAAAAATAATGAAAGACATGCTCCCTGTGTCTCTCTGGGAAACAATGGTCAAGCATAGAGGACCGTCAGGTAACCAAAGGCCCCAAGGCAGGTGTGTGCTGGGGTGTCCCAGTCCAGAAAAAGCTGGACTAAAGCGGGGAGAGGGCAACCATGGGGAGAACGTCTCCTGTGGCTCTTAGCACCAGGAAGAACTGGGCTTTTCTACAGCAACTCGTGAACAGCAGGACTTCTGTCATTGCGACATTTTCCTCTTTGATCTGGGCTCTCAGGAGCTTGGAGAGATAAGCATGGCCCAACTCTTGAGACTGCACACAGCTAGGGGGATACATTTCTGCATAACACATGTACACATGCATGCATGCAGATACATACACCCCTCTCCCAGGCTTCTTCCTTCTTCTTTGAGCCCTATTTTACCTTCAACCTGATTTATTTGTCCTTACTACAGCTTATAATATCCGTGGACATTTTAAAGACAAACAGTTTTTGAAACAAAGTGGACTATGTTTTTATTTTTAAAATAAACTGCATCTTTGCTGTAGAACATTCTGGGCCAGGAACTCCGTTGGGGCTGGGCATAATGCCTGGTGCCCTGGAGGTCCTTAAAAAATGCGTATGGAACTGCTGCAGCGAGGGAGTAAAACACGCCCCCTCCTTTTGCTGGGAAGAAACTCCCCAGCCTTCAAACCCAGCATCCATCACTCATCCTTGTGAGATGCCTTTGTTGCTAACAGAAGGCACAACCTCTCAGGTACATATGTACACTGTGATGTCATAGGATAAGATCATCAACTATTTGCCCTGGGGTCTGTTTAATTATTTTTAAAAATTAATTTTGATTATTACAGCTGATTACACCTCAGTGAGCAATGTAATTGATATTTTCTAATGTATCCCAAGGAACATTTTGTACAACACGCTTTTTGTCGTTGAAGGTTAAAGACTCCATTATTGGTTTTTCCCTAAATATGCCCACATCATTAGTCCCTCCAGTGAGAAGGTCGCCATCTGGAAAAAGCAGCATGGAGACATTATTCAGGCACAAGTGCATGAAATTGGTGTTTCTACATCTTCTGTCTCTCTTCTGGAAAGAAGAGGCTTGTAATTAAAGGAGTTGGTTTTGGAGGAAACATTATTCATTCGGTGTTATTCCTTATCATGTCAGCACTGACAGCTCTCTAGCACTGATAAATTGTTCCTTGGAGTGAGACATACAATGTACAAGTCCTAATGCCGATTACCTATCTTCATTTGCAGTAGAAAATGCTTTCTCTGTGGTAGGTGAGCTGAACTTGGAGGCAAGGCTGATAGGATAAATGTTACTTCTTCCTTTTCTTCCCCTGACTCCCAGCACAGGCCCTTCTGGAACCAAACTGTGAAGTCGCTGTCTCTACCCAGGGGAAGGCAGTGGGTGTCAGTCTGCTAGACAGAGGTTGGGAACTCATGTTCTCTTGAGGCCACCAAAGGCCGACTGAGGCGTCCGGGAAGCCACTTCATCATGTGCACCCTCAGCTTAGTGAAATCCATGAGGTACACTCCAGCCAGCCATTCCTCTTCCTAGCTCACCTGCTCAGGCGCAGACTTTCTTGTTTAAAAGCAAGTTGAAAAAATACCAACCACCAATGTTGGTTTCCTAGTTCTGACAGACACACCATGGCAATGTATAAAGTTAACACTTCAAAATGAGGAGTTCACGGGAACCCTCTGTACTATCTTCATAGCTTTTCCGTTAATCCAAAATTATTCCAAAATGCATGCTATGTCATCCGCTTTTTTTTTTAGCATTAGCAAACAGAAAATAGGTGCATAGGCACAGGAGCTGGGGGCTGGGTGGGATGTGGCCATGAGGATGAGAGGGTTCAGGGCCTGTGAGTGGGAGGACAGTGTGAGCACTGCAGGTGGCAGGATGGGTACAGAGGCCAGGTCTGGATGGCACCATGGCCTGTGTTAGACATGCCTGCAGGTGTAAGCAGTAAGGGTTTGGCTTGTTTCTGTTTGTTAGACTGGAGGTTAACGCCCCTGATATGGGGCCAAGCTGGGGGCAGTGGCATCATTCAGGTGGGACATGATGGGGGCAGCAGTGGAGGCTGGAGCAGAGGAAGTCAAAGAACACATGAGAGGATACTGTTTAATGAAGGCTGGGATGAGCAAACAAGAAGGCCATCAGGGACAGAGGCCCTGGCTCTGGCTGTGAGAAGAGAGGGCCACTGGTGTGGGAGGGTGAGAGGTGTTTGATTCTGATGGTTCTGTTGTCTCTGCAGAGAATGGGGAGGAAAAGATCAGAGGAAGGGAATTGAGGATGCAGGGCCACTTCTAGCCCATGAAGGGAAGGAGCCCTCTGGCTGGGCACAATCACCTGACTTGTGTCTTGTTCAGCAGAGCATGATGGTTTTCATCCCACTTTCCTCCTGGGATCAACCGTACCTGTATGGATGGCTGTCCCATGCAGGGGCCAGAAGAACCCTACCTGAGGAGAGAGACCCACACACCAGCCTCCCAGCAAATGGGGCTTACAGAGGAGCAAGGTCCCATAGAGCAGGGCTATGCCTAGGGTCTGCCTTGTTTTGAGGCCTGTGGAGATAGCTGGACACGCTTCCAGTTGCTGTTTTTACAGTTGAAATGTCCCATGTAGGGAAGCCAGGGTTGTATGAGAAGTAATAGAAGGTGAGGAGAAGCCACCAGAAGCCAGAAGGTGACACACTGGAGCTTCTGAAATGCCAAAGACAGGCATTTTGCAAGAATTCTGTCTGCCCTGGCAAGAACACAAAGACACTAGACATTTGCTCCAAGGCCTCTGAAGTCCTTTAAAGGCCGTCCAGTGAGAAGCCCTGGCCCCCCACACACACCAGAGCCTCCCGTAAGATTATCAGTGCCCACATCTGGGGGCCTTGAAGAGCTCAGATGCTGAACTCCTGTGCTCAGGGTGGCTGT